GCCTTTTTTTGCGCTCCGGTTTCTGCTGTGGAAGCGGCACCTTCGCACCGGGCCGGGCAGAAGTGTGCCAGCGGGACTCGGGCAGAAGGTGCCGTATTTTTAAACCCGGAACAGCCGAAGCTTTATTAATCCCCTCTGCGACTCAGCTCCCCCAGTGCTTGTGGGCCAGGCCCCCACAGCAAAATCCGGCAGCGCGTTTGGTAAAACGAGGAGGGTGCTTAGAGTGACTCAGCCCATCTTTTGGGGGCTTTGGGTTAAATTCAGAAGTTTTTTTCAAAGTGTAAAAACATGTTTGCCTCATTGAATAAATGTTCTTATTTTAACAGTCATTACTGGCTCTGACAGCGAACAAAGCGAAACAATATGTTAGTGTCACAGCTGACTTCCCAGTTACTGAAGGCTTCACGAATTGCAGGTAAACAGATGTTGTGTCACCTAGTTTCCTGTTTTTTTTCCTGGGGTAATTAGACTCCCAGAAATTTCTTTTCCAGCAAGCAGTGCAGGAGCGGTGAGGCTGTTGTTGATTCGGTGGTTGTGGATTATGTCTCTGATCTATTCTGTCAGTATTGTGTAGCTCTGATTTGACCTCTTTTAAGCTTAGGAGGAGAGTCTTTAGCAGCAGAAAGGTTTAATACAGTGAGCAGTTCCTAGCCGTTCCAAATTGCACTTACACAGTTCATGCAGTAAAATATTGTATTTTTAGTGTAATTTTAGCAGATGGTGTTACAGCAATGTAATTAAATTCAAATTAAAAAAGGCTTTCTTGCTTTTGTGATGGGAATATAATTTTTGTGAGCAGCTTCCTTTATAAGATTATTCTGGCCACAGTTGTCTGGTGGTTTGAGACCTGGGCAGAGCTTTTCTTAAGAAGCCTCTGCCTCTTAAGTGAAATTCTTTTCTTCTCAAAGGCCACCTTTTGCCAAGGTCAGCGTCTTCCTTTCTTCGCTGTCATTCTACATCTGCACACTATAGCACACAGCCATCTGGCAAGAGTGGAGCCCAGCCTCAGCAGTGGTATGCTCTGGACCCTGAACTGGAAGAGATGCTGATCCCCAGAAAACTTTCCATCAGCCCCTTAGAAAGCTGGCTGACAGTTAGATACTCCCTTCCTAAAGCAGAAGTCCTTAATGCTCAGGAAGGAGTGGGCTATGAACCTCTCCAGCGATATGACTGTCCCCCATCTGATGAGGGAGCTGATGTGGAGGAAGGAGAGGGGACACTTAGCAACAAGCTTCAATGTAAGAACGTTTTGAAGATTCGCAGAAGGAAAATGAATCGGCACAAGTTCAAAAAGCTGCTAAAGCGAAGAAAATTTGTACGGAGGAGGATAAAGGAAGGTCGCAAGAAGAAACGTCAGGTAAGTTCAGGATAGAGAGAACTCCTTGACATAAATGTGCCCACTTCTCAAACTGGTCTCTGTTTAGGTATCGGATGATGTTTTTAGGTGGAATTGATTTGGGGAAAAATGGCAGCAGCTCGGAGAACCTTAATGAATTCAGTATTTAGTGGTACAGTAGCTTTTTCTGTTTTGTGTTTGACCTGGACATCTTCAGAAGTTGTAACGTAGAATATTTCTGTGGTTGTAAACATACATGTGTGGTAGTTACTAGGCGTAATTCTTCTTGCATGACAGTAACTTATATGGCTAACAGAGAATTTTAGCATTTGTGTGAAAGATTAATTCACGTGTCTGTGTTATATTTATTTCTTGTCTTGCCAACATCCTCAAGTGCTTCCCATTGTCCTTTTCTGTATAGAAGCCTTTTAGTTCCCTTAATAGAAGGGATGAGGGAAGATGTGGGCCTTCATTCAAACTGTAGATGTTCTCATTCAACTCTGCCCTTCAATAGTCTGTTAGGTTTGCTGTGATATAGTTTAGTTCATTCTCTGGTAATTTTCACCTTGCCTAGATGCACATTGGGGTTAATTGTAATTCCATTTCTTCAGATTTGTAGGAAGCAGTGTTGAACACTTTATGATGAGGAAATCCTCTTAATTTTCTTACCGTATTGTTTTCCATCTTCTCAGTTTTCCTCACACAGGACTTAAAATAATGCTACCAAGATCCTTGTGCATTTTAATATATTTTCTTCAGTAAGGCTAACTATTTTGACACTTAGAACAAGCAGCCTACTTAAAAGCATTTGTTTTGTTTGTGTTATACCTAGATTCTCCTTGGGACCCATGGGCAGTGGCTGAATACTTGAGTGTTGCTTCTGAGCTATGTTACTATTTTTTCTTTCTTTTTTTTCTGTTTTAGATAAAATTTGAGAAAGATTTGGAGCGCATCTGGAAAAGAGCTGGTTTGAAAAGTCCTCCTGCGGGATGGCAAACCCCCAAGATATTTCTGAAAAGTTCAAAGCGATAAAAATAATGAGTTTTAACCTGTAATTGTAATTAAAAAATATTTAAGTACGCGGACTACTTTTAACCTTTTTTTGAGTGTGATGAAATTAGTAGGGGGGAACTTTCAATCTTGATGAGCAGTTTTCCAAGGGCAAACCTGACAACAGTATACTTTTCCTCCTCGAAAGAATGGTGTGCGCCCTTGTATAGTGACGTGGCGCTGCTGTGTACAGTCCCGTGCTGCTGCCCCCAGCTGTATGTCTGAGCAAAGGTGTCAGACTGCCGCTGAATTTCTGAAGTTGCTATGTGAGGTTAGACTGAACGATGTACTGTAAGAACAGTCGGTGGTGGGAGACGGGATAACTGAAAGAATGCTTCTGATTGTAAGTATGGCTATGTAAGACACAAGCATTTTGAAAAGTTCTTTTCAAAATTGTGTTCTTTTGCTTTCGTAGTCTTACTATAGAATGGCTGGTGCCTACTAAGAGATATGGTGAAATAGGAATTGGATCAGAATTCCACAGAATATATCTGCAAAAGCTTTAATTTTCACTTATATGAAGGCTCGGTGTGCATGTGCCTTACACCGGCATTGCGTGAGCATCCTTAAAAAGCATATTAATTTTTTTCTGTTTTGTGCCAATTAAAAAAATTGCTTTGTTTCTACGATTGACCCCTGTCATACAGAACATTCAGATATTGTTCAGAGCTAATTATTCATTAAATACAAAAACTGTTTTGTGCTGGAGACAACCTCATTGTAATCAGCTGGTTTTACATGATTCAAGAGAGTTATGAAAGCTGTGAAAAATATAGATGTTTATTTTAAACCCTGACAGAGGACTTTGTATCTGGGTTCTATTTTGGGTTCTGCTTTCGATTCTTCTGTTTGAGGCAGTTAACTTCTGTGTGATTTAGCTCTTCCCTGTCTGTATTCCAGCAGATAGATGGGGTGGACTGACCTCTGAGAGAAAGGAGGGAGAAAGCATGAGCTCCCTTAGGCTCATCATTCTGCAGCATACAGGGAAGCTACCCTGAAAATGCATTCCCTTTTATCTGCTAGGAGCAGAACACTTGACTAAACTGGAAGGGAAGAAAAAAACCAATCTGTGGAACTCATTGCTACAAGATACAGTTGAATCTCGCTGCAGGAAGGACAGGTGACTCCTCGCACACAGTGAACACGTCTTGAGGTTCTGTGCATGGCTCTCTGCTGTTTTTGTCGCTAGATGGCAGTAAATTCAAAGCCTCTGAAACTCCTTAGCCATTAATGTAGAAGCTAGCTGGCTCTTTATGTCGGTATTTTAAGGAAAAGGTTACACCCCCATTTAAAAATGGATTAATATTGCTAGAGAACTGCTGGCATTCTGAGAACTGTATTGAAGTCCTGTAGAAACATGTGGTTAGCACATTGTTATAGTTCTCTTTTTCTAAACCATCTGTTAACAGTAAGGCAACTTTGATCAAAAAAATTAAAAAGATGTCCCGTCCTTTTTGTGCTTTAAATAGGCTGCAGTTGCTTTTAACCAAGACCAGTAGGACTCTTTCCTTCAGCCTATTGTCAGGATTTTAACGAAGAAGAGGATGTCTAACCATGAGCCTTAGAAACTCGCCAAGCAAGAGAAGGTCGAGTGTTGATTCTGGCTTACAGGTTTGTTAAATATGCAGAGTGCATCTAGGTGTTTCTAAAATATCAATACGTGTTCCCTGCACAAAGATGCATAGATGAAAGGCTGGGGCCTGAGAGGATTAGCACCTTTGAAGTCAGGTCCATGTCTTTTTTCCCCAGTCACATTTGTTTTAAGAGCCCTTACGCCAGCATTGTTGTTCTCTGTCAGTCTTACAGCTTCTCTCTTACTGGCTCTTAGTCCAAGCCGGCTGTTTTTCTGCCTAGGGAAAAACGGTAATCAGCTTGCACATCTCCAGGAGATTGTTGGCTGCTGAAGAGTTGGGATGCCTTTGGAATTACACAGAGCAAAAGACTTCATAAAAGACAGCAGTAGCATGCCCTGCTCATTTATCAGTGCTGTACCTCTGATTCAAGTTTTGAGGTTTATTCTTCCTTGATTTTGTCTTACTCAATCCTGTAACTTGCATCTTTGTTCTCTGTTGTAGTCTCTAAATCTACAGACTGCCCAAGGGTATGTTATCCATTTTTCCCCCACTAGGGCTTAGACTGATCTTATCTCTCTCTACTTGGACATAAAACCTCTCTTGCTCTTGGGGAGCATCGTGATGGGGCTGTAGATCACAAACTTGTCCATTGTACTCATGCCTGCTGGGATCGTGCAGGCAGAGAACTTTGTATGCCATTTTCCTGCATCAGCACCACCACCTTGCTCTCTAACTTGTTTTTACATTGGGATAGTAACTAGAAAAGAGAATTATTGAAATAGTGGGAATTGCAAAGCATAATCATTCAGTATCTTGCGATGTTGCAGTGCAAGTGAACTCTTGTACTATGGCAATGATCGTGTTATATTAGGGTACTTGTGCGGTTAACTGCAAGTCTCCACGAAGTAAAGTAGCTTATTAAATGGTATGCTCTCTAAGTAGTAGTCCAGTCCTCCAAATTGTAGTCTGCCAAGAGTAGTCATTACTTTTACATCTATTAGACATAATTACACAACCATGTATAGAAGTCTGGAACTACTGTGTAATTTACAAAAGTGTCTGTAAACGATCCACGGCAGTTAGTGCCAGTCTTAGTCATACAAATGCTGTATTCCTTTTTGCTGAAGTACCTCAAAGCATGTCTCAGGATTTGTGTTTTCTTTGTGGCAGATACTGCAAAGACTCTCTGTCTTACATGGCACTAATCAGATAATATATACTAGGGTTGTATCAACTTGCTTTAACTCTCTTGACCACAGGATGCAATTTTAAACTTTCTCACTTTGCTAAACAGGGAAAATCAGATAGATGAGAGCTGCACCTATTTTTTCTGTAGAGGGAGCACGAGTACATAATGTGCTATTCACAAAGTTTTATTATGAGTTGCTGTTCCTCTCCAAAGCATGTGCGTACTGATGTGCCTGCATACTTAGTAAATGTATATGTGTATGTGTATATGTAGCTGTGGTAGCAAAAAAAAAAAGGGACTGCAAACAGTAAAGTTTGACCTTTACAATTCTCAAAAATATTTAAGACTTGAAGATTTCTCCTTCATCATCTCATTCTGCTGTTCTGAGAGGAAATGGTTGAAAGTCAGCAGGAGATTTCTAGAGGAATTCATGCTCTGTATTACAGAGACTGGAGATAACCAGTGGGATGGTGATTTTATGTTTGAAACTGCCTGACAGTCATTGGTCTGGAAGGGTCCCTCAAAATCGGAATGTAAACCCAATTACACTCATGCTTACATCCCTCATTCTTGGATTGAATGCACTTAAATACAGACAGCAAGCTCAGCTGAACAGAACATCAAGTTTGGTAGTTTTATCACAGCGATCAGGTTTGTGCTGAAATGAGTTGGCTCTAAAATAGGAAGTCAGGTGACTCGGAAGGGGTGAAAGTTCTGAATTTTGTTTATCTTAGCTAAAGCATCACATTGCAAACTTGGGAGGGTGTTCTCCCTTTCGGAAAGGTCAAAACCCAGCAACGTGGTGGTAGTGGGCTCTGACATAAATGTAACAGAAATACCATTTCTTTCCAATGCTAGCAAATAATGGTTGCTGGCAAACCTGAGATTTTAGTTGTCTCCTTGACAGCAATGTTTCTTACTAGGGCAGGAATTAAATGCGTTTTTAGGAGTCTTCTCTAGAAAATGTGTTGTTCAATTGCATCAGTATGGATTCTTGAAGTTTTTTAGAGGATTCTGGACATAAGATAGTGGTTCTTTCACCCACACAAATGAATCCAATATAACTTACAAACGGTGAGTGGCGAGATTTGCATCTAACCATACTCAGGCTTCCGTATGCACTGGAATTACACTCACTTGGACAGCTGTGAATCAGGCCTGATTGTATATGGGAAAGGGAGCAATGCAAAAGAAGTGCTTGCTGCAGCTTTTCCTCAACAATTGTGTTGTCTAAAACAATCCAAGATAGGTTTGCTTGGCCCAGGAGTGGAAAAGCCTGGAGCAACTGCCAGTACTTTGCGTATCTAGACAATTGCTTAGTGGTCCACAGTGGTAGAGATGAGGTATTAGCAATAACGAGATTTTTAGAAATAATGCTGAAGGAGGAGATCTGTGATACTGATGGGCAGTAGAAAATTTATTTCAATTACCTTTTTATAAAGATTGCAACCATACTGAGATGTCAATTCTATTTCAGTGCAAATGAGGAAGCCAAGAAGGTTGGTCCCTTTGGTAACAAGGATTGAACCCCAAATGCGTGGAAAGTAGAAACATTTAAATTGTGTGTAAATTGCAGCAGCTTAGCCATTTGGCTTAACCTCTTCATGCACAAACAGCAGTTAACCATAGCACTTCTGATGGTCTGGAGTCTACGGAAGAGATTTTAGCTCTATATGGCAGCCATTTGCTCCAGTTTTCCACAGAAACAGGCTTCTTGGTAATTGTCTGCTGTAGTTTCGGCTCACTTCAAATTAATTCTATTAAACTCTGAGTTTGTCATAGGAAAAGGGAAAGTCCAGCAGTCAATACAAGATATTCCTTTCCTTTGGAAACCTTGCACTTACCCTACAAAGCATGTTGGATCGTCTGCTACCTGTTAAAGCAGCCTTGAGGTCGTGCAGACAATGAGTCTGAGCTCATGGATGCCCTTTCCATGCTGTCCGTGGCACAGGCAGAAGGGACAGTTTGCTGGCTCTCCAGGAGGAGTCATGGGGAGAGGAAATGGAGTGGAATGTAATGATGGCTTCTCCGGGTCCTGCTCATGAGACCAGACCTGAAGCTGATTCAAACCAGGAGCTGCATAGGTTGTAATGGGACCAAAGACTTTACATTGAAGGAAAACACTGATCTGAATTGAGGCTGTTTGTAGACATGCAAAAGGTTTGAGTGTCCTTAAATCCTAAAGCATGGGGAGCCTGGAAAAAAAAAATTATGTTGGTATTACCCAGACAGTCAGATTTTGTTAGGCTGATGGACTGTCACCTTGAAA